GTACAAGGCTCCCGCGTACGGCTGTTAAGTCATTGAGTATTATGCACGCTTCTTGCGGGTTGTTGGTCAACTTGCAAATCATGAATAGGGCATCCTGGCCTGTTGTGCGTTGAGATGCGGCGATTGGGGATGGTATAAGTTCAGAACGAAAAAGGGGATTGGATGGATGATACATGCCACAGCCATGGCACCCAGAGTCTGGGTGCTCTCTTAATGACGACAAACTGATGCATGATATGACGGGGCTGTAGATGTGACAGCTTTCCCTGGTAGCATGGTACGGTGTTGCTGACAGGTTCTGGTTCCTTTCATGGAGCTAGCGAATAGATATGTGTGGCATCCTTGCTTGCTTGTGCGTCATTTGTTTATTGTTGCTTTTGTTACGTCATCATGTTACGTCATCATGTCGAACTTGGAGTTACTGACAGCTAGGGTGTGTCCCCAATATTAGCTCAACTTCAGCAGCAATCTGGAGCTTGCAGATTGCTGTGCACCTGTGGCCGAGTGGTTAAGGCGCCGCCCTGCTAAGGCGGTGGGGTTTCCCCGCGTGCGTTCGAATCGCATCGGGTGCGGCATTGGATTTTGGTCCATGTAGTCCCACAGGCACTCCCACAGGCACTTCCAGCAGATCGCTGGCTTCCGGCCATCAAACCTGCAGCAGCTGCGGTTGTCATCCTACGGTGACAGCACCACAGCAGCTGGGTTTTCCATGTCGTGTCACAGTTCGGATGCCAAGTCTACCACGCACTAGCGCATTGTAGTGCAGTTTCCTTGCTGTTGCTAATGCAACTGCCTTTGCTACTCGACTTTGGGCCGCCCACCCCCAACAGCTCTGTTTTCCATGTCATCCCACAACTCTGATGCCAAGTATACTGCACACTAGCTGAATGCAGTTTCGTTGCTTTTCCTAAAGCAAGCAAGTGCCTTGCTAAGTGGGCGTGATTGATGGGGGTGGCCAGGAGCGATTGGAAAATGACGGCCTGCACGCGTTGTAGCTGCCAGCCAGGTCAAAAGTGGCTCTGCCACCGCCTTTTACGCCCGAGGTGGGGCTCGAACCCACGACCACAAGGTTAAGAGCCTTGCGCTCTACCGACTGAGCTACCCGGGCAGTGCACGATTTCCAAGTCGCCACATGGAAACGCATCAATACTGCAGTCTACTACTCATAAATCCAAAGACTGCGAAACAAACACAAAAACGGTTACAGCTTTCCTGTTTGCCCACTTGCCCATGTACATGTGTACTGTTATATTATGTATGTCCTATATATACGAGGTTGGCAACGCTGGATTTTCGGTACCTCCT